GAAAATAGTCTGTTTTGCATGAGAAAAAATAGTTCGTCGTGTCCATATTACAAAATTACAAAGAAACAAATGTTTTATGTATCGTAAATGTATTTTTTATAGTAGGTAGATACAATGAACTTCTATAGAAGTAGTGGCGTGGACGGCACGAAAATCCTGAACTTCTATAGAAGTTGTTGGCGGCGAAAAGGTTAAAACATTACACACGTATTTTTCTTTTCTTACAAAATTAAATACTTTCGACGATATTTTGATTTGAAATATCGTGTGACGTCACGATTTACTACATTTTATAGGGTTTTTTTGTATGTAATTTGTATAAAAAGTACAATAATTATAATTACTTAAAACTAATTCATCAGCCGGTCATCTTCTCACAAAATCTTACACATTATTCACGACATACATCCTTCCATCTCGCTGCGAACAAATCACACTCTGGTGCGGATGCCAGGAAAGCATTGATCATCGTTAATGCTCGAACAAGCGGAGAATTTGCATGCGCGACTGTTCGCGTTACTGGGACAGCCAGTAAGGGGTGCCTACGTGGCCTAAGGTGATGCTTCAGAACTGGGGGCAAAAACAACCGTACCACCTGTGCCACCAGCTCCGGACAGTCAGATTGTCCTCGCAGAGTACTACAGGTAGAAATTATAAGAGAGTAATTTCGCCTCACTACCAAAGAATTAAAATTTAACATGCCCAGTAAAAACTTGGTGGGGTATAAGAATGGGTAGTACCCAAATAGCTTTTTGTAAAGAAATCTAAGAAATGCTTTTTGCACTTTCTCCAGCAATAAAACATAAGTAGGTACTCTCATGAGGATTCCATACAATAGATGTTGTCTCCAGTTTGGTACGAACTAGGGCCATGTACACAAGTTTGATAGCTTTAGGATTATCATATTCACGCATATTGCGGATAACGAAACCTAATCTGCGATAAGAGTCAATTGTAAGTAACCTCATATGTTCGTGAAAGTTTAGTCGAGGGTCGAAGACTACACCCAAGTCCTTTACGGTGTGGACTCGATTTATGAGCTCTGACCCCAAAAAGTATTTAACATGCAAAGGATTATGTGCTCGATTAAAAGACATTACATTACACTTGGCTGTATTATAATGGAGTTTATTTTCATTGCTCCACTGGTACAAAGCATTAATATCACTCTGTAAGGTATCTGCATCTGCTAAATTTTTCACCCCATAAATAAGTTTAAGATCATCAGCATACAATAAGCACCTCGCATGCTTGAGACAAGATTCTAGGTCGTTCACCATCAATCCAAACAGCAAAGGGCCCAATACCGAACCCTGACTAACACCGGAGCGAGTGTGATTAAGTGGAGAAACAAAACAACCATGTCTTACATATTGTTGACGATCACGGAGGTAATTTTGTTTACAGAGCGGTTAAATCTAAATCCATGTTGTGAATCACATAAATGTGGTTGTATTTGTAAACTAATGTGTTTGTGTAAAATCGATTTAAATAGTTTTGGAAGCGCAGAGAGAATAGCTATTGGCCTGTAATTTTAAAAAGACACCGATGGCTGGTTAGCGAACACACGTAACTGACGGACTAATTACATCTTTAATTTTCATACACTGTCTACTACCCTATTTCACATAGACATTACACTCAGTAAATCAATATACCACACAGATTTTCCGTGTGTATAAAATCACCTCTGGCCTAGAATTGGCCCACGAAATCTCATTCAGTATTTGACATAATGTTTCTCTTAGGGGCAAGTGACCCAGAATACTTTTCAAATTGTGAGGTAAAGAAATAAAGAAGGAAGGTAAGTACTAATGGGTTCTTGAACAAAAACAAGTTAAAAGGAAATTGTTCTTATTTAAACTTATTGATTCACCATGTTCGACAGTGGAGTTGCAATACGAGCAGTCCGCCCATCACATACTCTGGGAGTGTGATCTCTGGCAATATGAACGTAACACTATGTTGAATAATTTAATTGTTTCGTCAGGTGTAGCTTATTATACGGACCTTGTGGAATCTAGAACGAATTTCCGTGCGTTTAGGCGCTTTTGCCATACCTATTATTGGAAGCAAGTATAACAGCTTACACATAGGACCCGCTTAGTTTTTAGTCTTTCCGTGGTGCTTGGCGACTGGGCTTCACCCAGTTGTACAGTCTCTTCTTTGTGCCTTTAGGCTTAATTCATTCTGTCTCCTGCAGAAATTCACCGAGGGAAGTGGAAACTATAGTTTTTTCTTCTTCTCCTCTTATAATAATATCTTTTGATTCAATTCGTTTCGGGAACCAAGACAGTTACTCATGTCCCTGGGACGCGCCGGACTTCAGTGTTCCGGTGTTTTCATGGTTGTATCTACTGTAGATCCTGGCTTACAGGAGTTGCAGCGGTTTTGGGAGGTTGTGGCGGGCTTGTCCCATAATAAAAAAAGTAACAAGGAATCTTGAATTGTGCCCGGTATATGGCAATAGGCTCACCCCCTATTACATGGGACTCATAACATAAATAGTGAAAAGTGGGTGTTACATTGTAAAGTGCCATTGAGTGCCGTTCGGGGATAAAAAGAGTGATGTTATGATAAAAAAGAAATAAAATACAAGAATATAACAAAACGCTTTATTCTTAACTCTACTAAGTCCAATTCACCAATACTGGGAATGTAAGTATATGCAAGCACCACTATTATTAATTAATTATAACAAATAAAAAAAAATCTTAGGCATACTAAGTTTTGAGGAATGGTTTGAAAGAACAGTTTAATTTATGTAGAATACAAAGTTAGGGGCCTCCGTAATTTGATAAAATTTTTGGATGTTTCCAAGTAATCAAATTAATTGTCCAAATGTGAAGAAAAATCATTATTATTGTCGATCGTCTATACACGCGGCGGCGAGCGGGGCAGGGTATAAATCCCACGGCCGTATGAACGCCACGCTACTTCGTCACTCGGCTCACCAACGCTATAGTTATCACGCATTTCTTTGTGACAGTCGTAAAATCGGTCTTGATTTCAGTTTGTGGAAATAAAAACTATGTAATTAGGTACTTTGCTTAGTCAAAAATAAAGTATTTCGACTGTTCAATACAATAAAATATAAAAAAATAATCACACTTTGATTAACAGATTTTTTACCAACTTAATTTTAGTATTTTTCCAGCAAATTTTTAAGGAATAAGTATGCTGTTTGACGTTTAAATAACGTGACGCCACAATACCCGATCTCATAAAAAAATTCATAGAAAACTATCGATTTAGACAGTTCGAAAAAAGTATTGAATTTGACTATAATTAGCAAGTACACAATTATACTATTCTCTATTTTACTTATAACTGAACAGAGCCTCGACAATTATTTATCTGTGATTTTTCTCAAGATTGCAGACTATTTAGGTAATACTACGTTTATTATGACAAATCAAATATACGTACAGTATTGGAATATGTATCAGAGACATTGTAGAACATACTTTTTTTAAAAGAGTAACGAATGGAGTTTCTTGCTCGTTCTTCACCTAGCTTCACCTAGCTTCACTGATGGACTGACTGACAGACTATTATTTATTTTGTATTTGTTGTCGTTTAAAAAGTACCAAAATATGGTTTAATTGAAATAAATGCTTTGACTTTGACAAACTTTGCATTATAATACAAGTATTATTACCTACTTAAAAATCTTGGAAACATCCCAATTTTGTGTTCAATCAGCATTTCATTCTTAAAAATTAAACTAGGTAAATATAAAAGGAAAATACAATATTTGGAAAAAACATTCAAAAAATATAAACGAGATTCAATTACTGAGTTGTCTTTTGTCTAACTTTTACAAAGTAAATCTAATATTGCTTGAAATATTATGTCTAAAAAACATCAAAATGTATAATCCTATTTAACACTAAATAATATTAATGTATAACTAATACTTGGTTACATAAAAATTCATAAAATAAATCAGTAATTAAGAAAATATTACTCAAATATACTTATTAATACAGATCAGTATTTTTATTCAGATTATTAAACTTATGACGTCTAGAAATCGATTCTCCAGTCGTATTTATTTCTGAATATAACTTCACCCCTTTTACCTCGCATATAAGGCAGAGGTACACATTAAAATTCTTCTCTTTTTGGCGAAAACCCTAGTAATGATATAATGAGTAACCATATTTTTCTATAAACCCGTTAATATGTAGTCTCTTTTATGCCTTTAGGCTTAAGTCATTCTGTCTCCTGCATCAATTCACCGATAGAAGTAGAAACTACCGGTTTCCCCTTATAATATCTTCTGATTCATTTCGTTGCGGGAACCAAGACAGTTACTCATGTCCCTGGGACGCGCCGGACTTCAATGTTCCGGTGTTTTCATAGTTGTATCTACTGTAGATTCTGGTGTACAGGAGTTGCAGCGGTTTTGGGAGGGAGTGGCGGGTTTGTTCCATTAAAAAATCGCCTAATGTACTGTTACGCGAATTTTAAAGATTGAAAGACCCAGAATATTAACATTGCACTTTCTTTTCTAAATTAATTATGCAGTTACCTTTTTAATACAATCCCAATGATAAATACGTCTCGAGAATTGATCAACACGCTATATTTTTAAATTCAACTTCCAGAATCCAAGAGATAGAATTCTACGAGTTGATGTGAAAATTGGGTAGTTTCGATAGATAATGAAAAAATATTAGACACGTATATTTTTATTTTCTCGTATTAAGTTGCAATACTTAGATAAAATGGCGCAAAGTTTAGGAGTGGGAGGTCGTTACATCATAACGTGCTACAAAATGTGGCACGCTGTGACGTCACGCGATATTTCAAATCAATATATTGTCGAAAGTATTTAATTTTGTGAGAAAAGAAAAAATACGTGTCTAAAGTTTTAAATCAATGTACCAGACGGACATTAAAATAAAATTTAGGAAACTACCCTATTCTATCGTTAGGAAGCTAATCTATAGATTATTATTACCGGTTATAAAATTTAAAACTTAGTCAATAATTTATAAGAAAGTAAACAATATGTATATGATGGGTGCTATCCAAGCGCTGTGTGCTAGCGTCAGGCCGGTGAAGCAGGCGAAGATGTACCAGACCAGGCCCATGATGAACAGCTGCCAGATCACGTGGAAGAGGAGGAGCCTGCAATAATATAACATGTATTTTTAAAAATGAAGAAAGTAAAATATGTAGTTAAGTATTTTGGTCTCAGATGGGGCCTAATATGGTTGCAGCAGCAGTTTAAGTGTGGGAGAGCCATGCTCCGGCACGAATGGACCGGCTCGACCGGAGTGATACCACGGCTTTTTTTGCTTGAGAACGAATAGACCGATTTGGCTGATTTTTTTGTTGTTGTGTTTGTTATCGTCAGGAGAAGGTTCTTATGACAGAAAAAAGTCCTCAAAATACTACGGGAATGGGAGAAACGGGATTGCGCGTACGAAGTCGCGGGCAGAAGTTAGTTATAAATAAAATTATAGATAATTATTGTACTTACACCATATCCTTCTTGCGAGCGGCCGGTAAAGATGATTCCTTCTCCTTATTCAAGTATCGTCTCACGCCCAAATGAAGAGTTTTGAAGTATTCTACCCACTGAAACAACAAAATTAAAAGCATTTTTAGACTATAATTATAAATTGTGACTTTTAAATGTCTATAAAATAAACTAGATAACTGAATACACTAAAGAGAAACATCAAAAAACTAAAAAAATACAATTAAAAATAAACATAAAATATCTATTTTTGTAAATAAACATAAAATATTTATTTTTGTAAATAAACATAAAATATTTATTTTTGTGGTAGGTATATAATTGAATTTTCGAAAACAGTGACAGTCTAGCGCCCAAGGATTAGAGTTTTTGGGTTTGATTACCGGATCAGACAATTAGGTACTGTTTTGTTTTTCCAATATTTCCCATATCACACTGAATTTTATCTGATATAAGTTCACTTTTTTAACATCCTCCACCTCCTAGCTAGTTATATAAAAGTGTGCCCATACTCGTTGGCCGAGTGGCCGCGAGTGCGAATGCCAGACAAGAGGTCTTGGGTTCCATTCCCGGGTCGGGCAAAGTATTACTGGGTTTTAAAAAAAAATCTCAGTAGTATCACGAAGTCAGGAAATGTGCCCGGTATATGGCAATAGACTCACCCCCTATTACACGGGCCTCATAACATAAATAGTGAAAAGTGGGTGATACATTGTACAGTGGCATTAAGTGCCGTAATGTACACCTGTACCTACCCCTTCGGGGATAAAAGGCGTGATGTTATGTTAAGCCCATACTCACATATAACTTGGAAATATCAATAAAGAATAGTTCCTTGTCCGTCTGGTTTAGTTTCGTGGCCAATTCTAATGTATTGGGGTTGTGGAACTTCCATTCACTGAAGATGAAGCGCTCCAGGCGGTTGAGAGAATTCCATACGTTCTTGTGTAGACGAATTAATCTGGAATTTAAAGGAAGTAAAGGAAGAATTAGTTTATTTCTTGGGCCCAAAATAAATTATTTTAACATTTTACAACAGTCAAAAATTAAACATAATAATTTAGTCAAAAATTAATATTTCGACGCTTGAATGCTAAAAAATATGTAAAAATAATAATCAGTTTGTATTACTGTTTCTATGCTACACTTAGTTTCTTATTGTGTTGTATAGAAAATACATGAAATAATGTAATTATAACTATTTGATTAAGGATTTTTTTAAGGGGGTAAAGTCATCGATTGACTGCTCCCGCCTGGGTGAGGCCAAACATAGAATAGTGAAACCTCACGAGACGGACACTGTACGGGTAAAACCTCTATGGGATTGTTTATTTTAGAAACCACGAAAATAAATTCATTTCTCAATAAATATAACCTAGGTACTGAATCGATTGTGATGATATTTGTTCTAGTTGTACAGCCATAGAATATACCTTGACAAAGACTAATTAAAAAAACATTTAATTTATACAGAAGTCGTTATTTCACGCGGACGAAGTCGCGGGTAACAGCTAGTAATAAATAACTAGAACTAAAATATAAATAAAAGTGTCAGACTCTTATGCCGGAATACTGAAACGTTAATCAATTTTAAGTCGTGCTTAAATATCGTGCCATCTCTGTCATTTTACAAAGAATTTGTGGAGACAGAACTATACTTAAGCGCGACTTAAAATTGAGTAGCGTTTGAGTATTCCGACATTAGTACATTAGTCTTAGTCCGATTATGTTACTTTCTTATTCATCAGATATATTTTCAGTGAATTCCGGGGGGACAGCGCGTACGCAGTCCCCACTACCAAAAATTACGCATCCGAGTTATCCACATTAGGGATAATCGCAGGGGTCAACCCAATCGCAGTGCAATAGTGGTGGGCGTTGAATGAACGGACTGGTCCAATAGACCGGTCGACGGTCCATGAACGTATCAACTGTTCACGTCTGTCGGATAGACTAGTTCAATGCGTAGACAACTTCCGATGAGTCGACGACGCGACGGACAATACTAATACCTAAAATACCATGGACGCCTAATACCAAGAACTACGACAGATAAGCACACAATAATTGTAAACAAAAAGTTTTTAATTTTATTACTTAGAGGTTAAGTTTCATTTTCAAATAAACATTTCTATACTAATGACTTTTTATTTTCAAGCGAAATTTTAAATTTCGAGCTCGTACCTCTAAAAAAAGGACTTAAATAATATTTTTTGTAAAACTAATTAATTAAACTTTATCTTCAAGCATTAAGGTTTATAATAAACTGAAGTTTTCGGTTCGATCAACCATACGACTAGATATGGAACAAAAATACGTCACTCAAATGGCAACGTTTTTCTAGGAAATGTAGCGATTTTTCTAAGAAACGTGCACACGCATGTAAACATCTACATTTGCAATGCGAGCGACGTATTTTATTTTTGTTTTTTATCTAGTCGTATTCGTCTTGTTGATCGAAGCTTGTGCGTATAGTGAACTTTGCTTTGCATTAATTTCGTGTGTACTCTGTAACTGTAAATAAATAGTGTAGCGCGCGACATTCAAAAAATATCATTCGGTTAGCAACTAACGTTCGGGTATCCCCGCGCGCCCCGTCAGTCTCCGCCGGCCGCGCGACCGAACGAACCCGAGCAGCGCCGAAGCTGAACGAATGAGTCCGGTAACAGTCCGACGATCCGACATACGATCGCGTGTCGCGCCAAAAATCTTTATTATTGTTTGTTTTCAATGTTTTGGGCAAGTTTTTATTAAGGAACATTGTTACATAGTGTAGTGTGGCAAGTGTTAACTGTTGACTGAACCTTTGAGCCGATAATTATACGTTTGTGTGCTAAAATCCGTGGCGTTATTGAAACCCCTGTCCCGCCCTGTGATCATTTCCACTCTGAAGACCAGTAGTAAATTAGTGTAGTGTATATTTAGATATTAGGGTAATAGTTATATTACAGTGTAAAATAAAAGGACATACCTAGAAATAATGTCAGGCCGAAGCGAATTGTGGCACCATTTTGAAAAAGATGCTGCTAGCGGGAAAGCAATTTGTAATGTGTGCAAGGAAAAACTTGCATACAAATCTTCTACCGCAAATTTAAAAAGTCACCTTAAACGAAAACATATTTCCGTTTTCTCCGGACTCCAGTTAATAAATCAACCGCCAGCAAACCTGACTGTGCAACAAGCGGATGTATTGGGTGACTTGGGTGCGAGTTCGACATGTAGCGTACCTAGCACTAGCACCGCCAGCACCAGTACCAGTACCCATGTTCAGGATAAAGTGGAGTCTCTTGCAAAACGCCAAAAAATTATGGATACTTATCTAAATAAGAAGATAAGTAATGAACAAAAAAAACAAATAAATCATGATTTATTAGATCTTTGTGTGGACAGTTTTCATCCATTTTCCATCGTTGAGGAGCGTGCATTCCGTAAATTCTGCCGGTGGATACCCGGTTACCAACTGCCCACCAGAAAAACACTATCCAACTCCATAATGCAGGAAACTTATACAAAGCTTTTTGATACTGTTCAAAATCAATTAAAAAAAGAAGTCCACAGCATTTGTTTAACTGCCGACATGTGGACGTCATTGAAAACTGAGAGCTATCTCGCACTGACCGGGCACTACCTGACGGATTACCTAGAATTTAAGACTGTACTTCTAGGTTGTTGTCATTTTGAAGGTCATCATACGTCAGAAAATATCGCCTTTGAAATTGAGAAAATAATAAATAAATATGATTTAAAACATAAAGTTAATTTCATGGTTACAGACAACGCAGCCAACGTTGTCAAGGCAGTCAAAGAAAATTTAGGCTGGAAGCACTTTGGCTGTTATGCTCATAGCCTTAATTTAGTGGTCGAGAGTGCACTGCATCAAATAAAGCCACAGATTGACAAGGTTAAACGTGTAGTAGCACATGTGAAAAAAAGCACTGTCTCATCAGAAAGGCTACAAAAATACCAGGCTCAATTAGGATTAGAACCTAAACGTTTAATCCAAGCAGTTGAGACTCGGTGGAATTCCACATATTTCATGTTAAAGCGTTTCGTGGAGCTGGAAGATGCTATGCGGGCAACGTTGGGTTTCGTCGATAGACATCTTCCAGTCATTAATCCTGATGACTGGACTTTGTATAAACAACTGTGTCAAATATTGCGCCCCTTTGAAGAAATAACTTCTTCCATGAGCGGAGAAAAATACATAACAGGAAGTTCGGTTATTATTGTCACACGATGCTTAAAAGAAGCATGTCAGAAGCTGCTAGACCGTTCTGATCTGGTATCAGACGCACGCGATACTGTACTGCTTCTTCAGCGAGGTTTAGCAGAGCGGTTCAAATTAATTGAACAAAGTGGAACATTTGCTTTGGCCACATTCATGGATCCGCGTTTCAAAATGCAGGGCTTTTCGGACGCCAACGAAGCCATGAAAACTAAAGAAAAGGTCCGAAAATTAGTGGCCTCTATGATCAGTATGTCAGAAAACGCTGCAACACCTACAGTTACTCCCGAAACAACAGAAACCGATCACGATGAAGAGTTTAGCCCATGGAAAATATTTGACAAGATGGTAGCAACGAGCGTTGCTCAAGGAACGCCACTTTCGAGAGCGATAAAGGAAGTTGACATGTACCTTTCCGATGAGTTGTTGCCACGGAAAGATCAGGCAGGTAATTTAACATGCCCTCTGGAATGGTGGAAACAACACCAATATGTGTACCCTAATTTAAAAAGGATATATGTTACGCAGTGCAACATAGTGGCCACATCCGTTCCTTGCGAGCGGATGTTTTCTAAAACTGGACTTATCTTAAATGAAAGACGCACAAGATTAACCACCAGTAAAGTAGAACAAATAATGTTCATAAATGTCAATTCTACAAATGAAAGGTTTAAGGGCTTTGAAACCAAATAATATATGTATACATGAAGAATTGATTTGATTGTAAATAATAAACAAATTAAAAAAAGTAAGAAAAATATATGAAAATAAAAACAAAAATATATAAAAAAAATAAAAAAGACAAAAATTTAAAAAAAATATATAAAAAAAGGAAACAATCAATCAATCAATGTAAATAAAATCAGTTGATCTTCTAAATACGCCTGAATTTTATTCAGCCAGTCCTAAGCCTGGAAAAAGTATGAAGGGAAGATCAAGAAACGATGGTTTCTCTAATTACAATAACCAGTGCAATAGGCAGGTACATCGAACGCAGAACTGTTTACATAGTACAATCAATGTATTACATTCAGTCCACTCGACGTCGCGTCGCGTCAGTCGCTCGCTTGTCGACACGACCCATCGTTCATAATGTACGAGACCGTGAACCGTCTATATTTTGAACCGGTTCATCGACTAGTCGATGAACGAAAATGAACGGTCTAGTTTCGTTCACGCTAATACCGTCAACGACCCATCTCTACAGTGCAATGAGAGGACCTCGCCCTGGGGGAACCGCCTACTTGATCACGGTGTCCCCTATGCCAGGTAAGTATGAGTTCTCTACCGAACGCAGCGAGGGTCGTTCTACGCCGGAGAATCTTAACACCGCGATTCAGAAATGTGACGTATTTGGTCAACGCCATCTAGTTGTGAATTCAGAACTAAAGTCTCCCCTTTGCATTGGTATGTTACCCCATCTGTGATTTGTGAGGGGTACTTTTCTATAAGCTTGGGTGAGATAGGTTGTTTTGGTGTTGTCCCTGATACTAAGAACATTTGGGTATTACGTACCCAAATATGTAGTCAAATTCAATATTACAAAATGTCATGACAGTGTTTTAATTATTTCTATGATGTTTTTTATGAGATAGTGAGCTATGACGTCGTATTTTTGCGTCAAATAACATATATAATTCTCAAATACATAATATAGCTAGAGAAAACGAAAATTAAGTATTCGTCCAATCGATAAATGAAAGAGATTATTTTAACAAATGGATGGAAATGTCTAAACAATTTATTTTCAACGTATAGTTGGCGTAACCTATATAGGCATAATTATTAAGCACTTTTGTTAAAACTTGTCAGTAATCGCTTACCACCCGGCGAGTTAGTGGTCAAACGCTGAAATCTTATTATTTTTTTTCTTCTTCTTCCATGGTAACCGAGTAAATCTTATATGATTTATTATTGAGTACTTGGCAACTAGTCAATATCAATTTTTTTGAACTGTCAAAAACGACAGTTTTCTATGAATTTTCTACGATATTGTGTATTGTGACGTCACGTTTTTTAGCGTCAAACAGAGTACTTATATCTTAAAAAATTGCTGGCAAAATGTAATAATTAGGTTGGTCATAAAATTAATGAATGAAAGTGTGATTATCTTTTAATATTTTATTGTATTGAACAGTCGAAGGAAATTACTTAATTGCAGCCGCTAACGAAATAAGGCGCACATTCAGTTCAAGAGAGACCGTCGCAGGGATAAGGGAGCGAGTGCGGGCATGTATTCATCATAAGGAAGGTCACTTTGAACATAATTTTGTAAATAATGATGTTTTTGAAATTGCCCGTTTTCCTTTACACTTAAATTATCATCAAGTTATTAATTTATTTTTGAGTATTTTATATGTACCTAATTTAGTATTTTTGGATAGATAATAAACCAAGAAAGTTTTTCTAATAGTTTGTACGGTTAGTGTAAAATGAATATTTTCTTAAATAAATCTAGTTTTCTATTGACCGAATTAGTTATTTTAAACAAATGATATTTCTGCTAGCATTAGAATTAATAAATGTTTATTAATATTGACAACAAATTAAAACCAAAACCACTTAAATCGAAAGTGTTTTTTTTTAAATTGAGTAATACGAATTATGGTTATTAATCAATATATTATGTACATAATGATTATTTATTGATGTATTTGTATTTAGGAAGTTCGCATTTAAAAAAAAAATCAAAAATGTTGAATATCTTAGAAACTAGGCACTATCGGGCCAGAGAGTTCAGGGTTAATTTTGTAGGAATAGGAAATTAATTGTATTATCACCTCCCGAGAGGAATACGTTGAGTTACAATACAAGTCACCTGTATAAGCTGAAGAGTTTCTTTGTTTGCGCGCGCTATTAAATTCCGGAGCTACTTGTCCAATAGTCCAGTAGTTGAATAATTCTTTTTGTTTTGGATAATGAATTTATCGAGGAAGGTTATTCGCTATATAAACTCACGCTACGACCAATCGGAGCCGAGCAGAGTGGTTGAAGGCGCACTTAAGTAGTTGGTATAATAATAAAATTGCACTAACTTAATATTCTTCAAATCTAGCCAACAGAATTAACTAGTTTCCAACATAAATTTTTTAATGAATTCCGGGGGGACAGCGCGTACGCAGTCCCCACTACCAAAAATTACGCATCCGAGTTATCCACATTAGGGATAATCGCAGGGGTCAACCCAATCGCAGTGCAATGAGAGGACCTCGCCCTGGGGGAACCGCCTACTTGATCACGGTGTCCCCTATGCCAGGTAAGTATGAGTTCTCTACCGAACGCAGCGAGGGTCGTTCGACGCCGGAGAATCTTAACACCGCGATTCAGAAATGTGACGTATTTGGTCAACGCCATCTAGTTGTGAATTCGGAACTAAAGTCTCCCCTTCGCGTTGGTATGTGACCCCATCTGTGATTTGTAAGAGGTACCTTTTCATAAGCTAGGGTGAAGTAGATTCTTTTGGAGCACTCCCTGTTACAAACAGCATTTTGTTCACAAGTAATGGTCAAATTCAATACTTATTGCGAAATTGCTATTTTTTATTTATTTATTTATTTATAATTCATGGAGGACTTACAGCTTTTAAAAATGGATAAAAATGGATATTTTTTTTTTCAAATACACTCCTTCTTATGGCTAAATGACAGTGAAAATAGTTTCACCTATCTATTTTGGCCTAAGGAAGCATCCCAATTATTTTTAAAACAAGTATTTTGGCATTGTTTATAAACTTAGAGCCGATTTTCAATCAACAATTAATTCTTAAATAGAATAAATTTGAGAAAAATGTCAATAATTCAAAATTATGCCTTCGGTTAATCTGGGGTTTGAAAAATCGGCCCTTAGGCCCTTAGTGAATATAGTTTTTGAACTTTTTTTTATTTATCGTTGAGTAGACTCTTTATTAGAGATGGACTCTTTATTTTTAGTACTTATTTTTTCTAACATTGTTTTTTATTTTTGGATTTTTAGTACTTATTTTTTCTAACATTGTTTTTTATTTTTGGTTTTAGGCGTATAGGCATAAACAAAGTTAATTAGACATATTATTTCAACTTAAACATAACAATACTTACATAGGTCTTCCTCCAGTCATTCTGAGCATCAAATCCAATAGTAGCGCGGGGAAGAAATGCACGAATATCGCTGAAATCCTGAACATTAGGAGTGAAGGCACGAATTTCAAGTGTGGATACCTGGAAAATAATAACACTATATTAGCATTGCGTACAACACGATGGTAGACGATTCAAAACCGGTCACAAGATCACGGTGGTGTTTTCACTTTATTTATTTCAATTAAATAGTATAACATTCCCAGATTCTTTTCAAAAATCTATCCAAAGGTTGTCTGGAAGAAATCACCGCGTGTGATAAGACCGCCCATTGTACTCCAATTACTATTGAAATGTTTACAATTTTTTTCTGTGTGTGCAATAAAGTATAAATATATAAATAAATAAACTTGATGTTAATATTAATTTAGTTTGTAATTAGGTGTATTATGTTCCATAATGTAGACAGAGAAGATTATTGTCTGTAAACACACTAGATTAAGAACATACTATAAAAATTTTGTATGTCTTTACAGACATAATGTGGCGCACTACCATAATATTATCTACCATCTATTGTAACATACCTACATTGACGAAATAAGTAATATTTGTATTTGTATTGATAAATAAACATTACAGTCACAAATAATTATAAAAAGAAAAAAAAACAAAACAGGAAAGTCCTTAAATGACAAATTGTAAACTTGGTAGAAAAATATAAAACAAACAATAAGAATAAGAAAACCTTACAAACTATGACAGGTTTTAATACCAATAACATTTTATGCATCGAAAACACTCCTTATGACTAGTTGTTTTGCGAAAAGGAAATAGATTTCATGTTGTATATACATTTATGTTCTACCCTATCAAGTAAAAACATCGTAACAGTATAACTATCTATGTATATAAAAGAAAGTCGTGTTAGTTACACCACTTATAACTCAAGGACGGCAGAATAAATTTGGCTGAAAATTGGTAGGGAGGTAGCTTAGAGCCAGGAGACTGACATAGGATACTTTTTAACCAATTTTTTTTTTACTTTTTACCGAAAATCACGAACGGGGACAGGAAAAATGGGATTACGCGTACGAAGTTGCGGGCAGAAGCTAGTTTATAATAAAAATGAATTTTCGTTCGTTAGTCCCGCTAAAACTCGAGAACGACTGAACCGATTTGACTAATTTTGGTCTTAAAATTTTCATGCAAGTCCAGGGAAGGTTTAAAATGTGAAAAAGTTTTTTAGGCGGTACGAAGTATCATCAGCTAGTTTGTAACATAACGTCACGCCTTTTTTGTCCCCGAAGTAGTAGGCAGAGGTGCACATTATACCACTGTACAATGTAACACCCACTTTTCACTATTTATGCTATGAGTCCCATGTAATAGGGGATGAGCCTATTGCCATATACCGGGCACAATTCCAGACTCCGGTGCTACTACTGAGAATATTTAAAAACCCAGTAATACTTTGCCCGACCCGGGAATCGAACCCGGGGATCGAGCTAGTTTGTATCCTTACTAATATTATAAATCGGAAAGTGAGTTTGTTTGTTTCTTCCGACTTCACGCCGTAACTACTAAACTGATTGCATTGAATTTTTGCAGACGTAAAGTTAGTAATCTGGATTAAATAATAGGGTACTTTTTATCCCGAAAAAATTTGATATTCTCGAGGGAAACAAAAGTATAGATGGCGCTCTATGTATTGGTATATGTCACATAGGCTACTTTTTATCCTTTTGTGACGCGAGCGAAGCCGTGGGTAAAAGCTAGTATAAAATAAAATAATAATCTTACCAAACAGCGCTCTTCAAGGGGTATTTATGCAGCATACTGTTGACAGTATCATCGAGCATAGTCCACGTGAAGGGGTGGCAGGTCGACGACGAGCAGTGATACACTGTAAGACCCGATCTGTAAACATAGTATTATGATATAAGTAATTTCCTCGTTCTGTGCTCGTTTTGTTTTATTTACTAGCGACCCGCCCCAGCTTCGCGTTAGTGCAATATGCATGTATTATACACATAAGCCGTCCTTAAGAAACAAACAAACAAACAAAAAACAAACTCTTCCGCTTTATATAATAGTATTAGATAAGAGTATAAGATATAAACCTTCCTTAAGAATCACTCTATCTATTAAAAAAGCACATCAAAATCCGTTGCGTACTTATAAAGTTCTAAGCATACATAAGGACAAACGGACGGCGGATAGCGACTTTGTTTTATACTATGTAGTGAAGTGTGGGAGAGCGATGCTTCGGCACGAGTGGGCTGGCTCGAACGGAGTGATATCACGGCTGAGCAAAAAACCGACGTGAAACAACGCTCGCATTGAGTTTCGTCGTGCAAGTAAGGTTACCGGAGGCCCAAGACAGTAAGGAGTCTGTGGGACATCTTTTATATGTTCAAATCTTTACTATAATATTATAAATCGGAAAGTGAGTTTGTTTGTTTGTTCCGCCTTCACGCCGTAACTACTAAACCGATTGCTTTGAATTTTTGCAGACATAAAGTTAGAAGTCCGGATTAAATGATAGGGTACTTTTTAACCCGGAAAAAATTGATATTCCCGAGGAAAAACAAAAGTATTGGTATAGATGGTGCTGTGTGTATTGGTATATGTCACATAGGCTACTTTTTATTCTTTTGTGACGCGAGCGAAGCCGCGGGTAAAAGCTAGTCTATCATAAATCATTGAGGTTTCAAATAGGTATATAAAGAATGGGTAATTACCTGGAGTTAGCAGCTTCCCAGCCAGCGACCAGTAGCTGGTTGACGACGACATCCACTGGGATGTAATCAGCTACATTCTCCTTTGCAAGCGGGAGACGACGGACTACGCCTGAAATGTAAAATATTTTTTTGTAGAAATTGCACGCACTGGCAAGGGGACTAGGGTTCGATTCCCGGGTCCGGCAAAGTATTACTGGGTTTTAATAAAATTCTCATTAGTAGCATGGAGTGTGGAATTGTGATCTGTATATGGCAATAGACTCACCTCCTATTACATGGGAGTCATAACATAAATAGTGAAAAGTGGGTGTTCCTGGAAACTACCCAATTGGGATGATGTCAGGGTATAAAAATTAACAATCTAATTAGTCCGTAAGTTAGGTAATGAAAAAATACTAGACACGTATTTTTTTATTTTGTCGTATAATAAAGCAACACTTACATAAAACGAATCAAAGTTTAGGAGTGGGGGTTAAAACGTCATTTCTACGTATAAAATGTACATAGAAGTGACGTCACGCGACATTTCAAATCAATATATCTAAAGTATTCGTTTCTGTAAGAAAATAAAAAATAAGTGTCTAATGATTTAAAATAATCTACCAGGCGGACATTAAAATAAAAATTAGGCACATACTCTATTAACCTCTCGCGTGTTTCTCGTGTACACGGGTGTACGAGAGACTTGAGTGCCCATCGCGCAATTGTACACACGGGTGTACGAGACGCGCACCGATTGGATATTTTTTCAGTGACGTGTATTTTCAAGTTTGCAACCCGTTACTTGATTAAACAGAATAGTTAATTCGCTTTTCTATTAAAATATTTACCCGTGTTGTGTACGAGAAGCGCGCGAGAGGTTAATATTTGTATCTCTTCTCACCACATAAACAAGTAAGAAAATGTTACCTTTAGCGGCTCCCATCAGAAAACCTTGAGGCCCCACCTTGGAGCAAGTCCATCCTGGGATCGGTTCCTTCCAAGCTGCTACAACTGAAAATCAATAAATTTATTAGTAGATAATATATATATACATAACTGACTACCGAGCATGTATCTTGGGTTCGATTCCGGGTTACTGGCAAACAAAAACTTTAGTTACCAGATTAGAAAGCATTATTGGGAACTTTTCGGTTTTTAGACAATATCTCAGTAAAAATATGGAGCTCAAAATTGGTTCAGGGTACAATAGACACACCGCTCCAAAAAATAACGAAAAAAATAGTATATAAATGAGACAGATGATAGATGGATGAAAGTAGAGTATCGAAAGAAGAAAGAAGTATACAGATCGGATATGAATGAGGCCGTCGGTGGAGGGCGGACGGACGGACATATACTGACCAGATTGGAGATATATTAAAGGGTCAAATTAAAGTACCCTTAACCGACGAGCATGCATGAAAAGGTTGATGACTGTTGATGAAGCGAAAGAGGTATGTAGGAATCGTAGTAATTGGCGTTCCATAGACTTTGCATACCTTCATGGGAAATAGGCGTAAAGTTATGTATGTATGTATGCAAAAAATTGTATTACATTTCAGAGATTATAAAAAAGTGTGAGCAAACTTATGTCGACCCTATCAGGGATTAAAGGTCGTGATATTATGTGCAGTATGTATAATTTGAAAATGACTTACTCATATTAAGTAAAATCGCGGGTTACTCACGTGAATATACTGAGAAAATCTCTACTAGTTCCGAACCACAGAGGGGTTCTTCCTCATGAGCAGCGTGCGCGGTCGCGGTGATGTCGCGAAACTAGTAGAGCTTTTCTCAGAATATTCACGTGAGTAACCCGCGATTTTACTTAATTTAGTATGTCTCACGATAGTTATTATAAAAACATGACTTACTCATAGTAGGCCTGACGATGGTACAGGGGAACAGGTCAGCACATTTGACGACTTCATGTTCGGCTAAGTGCTTCGTGAACGTGTACGTGTTGGGATGACTCTTTAGAAGCCTGAAATTATTAAAAAAATATAAATAGTATTATCTAATAAGTATATAAAATTCTCGTGACACGATTTTTGGTTGCCATACTCGACCGATTTTGATGACATTTTTTGTGCTTATCCGGTATCTATGAGAATCGGCCAACATCTATTTTTCATCCCCTAAATGTTAGGGGTAAGTCCGACCCTAAATTTAATTTTTTAGACAAAATTTTTAGTTTCTATTTTTTTATGATACAGCATACAAAAATACATACAATCCTCAATTTTCACCCTTTGACGAAATTATTTATATGGCAAAACAACGTTTGCCGGGTCAGCTAGTAGTACTATATACTAATCATCAACAGCTTGTCACAGTTTGCTGCTAGATTAAGGGTCTGCTATGTTTTTTTTTATGGGTTAAGCCGGTAAACGAGCAAACAGATCAACTGATGGTAAGCAATACTAGTATGGGGCAACGTTTAAAAAACAAAAAAAAAACTGAAAAGTAAAATTATTGCTATGAATTATGGGGGTATTTTTTTTTTTAAGGGGGGAAAATCATCGAATGACTGCTCCCGCCTGGGTGAGGCGGAAGGGAGTGTCAGACTCTTACTGACTAAAAACCACCCCGTTCCTTCTCCTGCACGTCGAGCCGGAGCCCCGGTTACCCGTTAGGTTCTCCGCGACTCCGAATCGGCATCGGCCCTATTGGGCCCCATCTGTGGTGGTCTGATGGCTCTTTGAGGCGCGCGCGGAACGCTACGCGCCGTACGCTCGGGTAATTATGGGGGTATATTAAGTACTTACTTGGGTTCAACTTCCAATAACGCTTCATCATTGAGCGTGCCTACTAAAGAAATCACTTTTTCGGGATCCTCTGGAGCCTCATACACTTTCTCATGTGCTTCAGTCAAGTAGGAGTTCACATATGCTGAAGATACGTGGATCATTACCTGAAAGATTGTATAATAAGTTAAAATTGGAGATATTTATGGGTAGTCAAATTTGAATTGCCTTGTCGAAAAATAATATTACCTATAGCCTGGAAATCTAACTTAAATATCACTGCCTGCTACCACACACCAAATCATCTCGTATAGATGATTTTTTAATTGTTTTTGAGTTTTTTAGGCTTTCTAAATAAAATTAATACACGAGCAAGGCATCTCCGGTTCGAATCCCGGGTTCGAATAGATAAACTACTGTAAAATTTTTAAGATAAATTTTAGTAATACGTAGACTGCCTCTTTTGTCGCAAGTGCGACTGCCGGGCAAGGGGTCTCGGGTGTGATTACCGGATTGGCAAAGTATTACCGGATTTAAAAAAATCTCAGTAGTAGCACAGAGTCTGGAAATGTGCCCGGCAATAGGCTCACCCCCTATTACATGGGACTCATAACATAAATAGTGAAAAGTGGGTGCTACATTGCACAGTGGCATTAAGTGCCGTAATGTACACCTCTGTCTACCTCTTTGGGGATTAAACGCGTACGTAATATTATGTTATGTTTATCATGGAGAGTGCTCCATAGAAGGCTCAAAACTTTTGAATAAAGACTTTTTGCCATATCTCTGTCTACTCCATCAATGTACAAAAATAGCTATACTATTAAAGATACAAACCTTCAAATTCTTAGCATCTTTACACAACTGCATCACTCGTCTAGTTCCGAGTAAATTAATATTAACTGTTGGCCGCAAACTCTCCTGGAAGTCCAGGGTAGCAGCGGAATGAATCACCACATTCACATTATCAATGATAGTCTGACGGTCTTGGGGACTTAGTCCGAGGTTCTCCTCACCGACATCACCAGCGATGGGGATTAATTTCTTGAATATGTCCTCCGAGTTGCTTTCTAAGAGCTTTTCGAAGACCTGAAATTATTTAAGTTGTGGATCAGATGAGAAACTTAAGTTAATAAAGTAAAAATTCAACATAAATGTCAGTCCCATCCTACGATGATTGATTACTTGATGATCAATGAATCAGAGCCATGTAGTTATTTATTTATTTTTGAAAATGTACATATATAACACCACAGCTTACGCCATTAAGTTATACTGATAATCTTATATAAATGCTATTATTTAGATACTTAAAAAAAAACAAACTAATTAGGTAATCAAATACAAGAAATAAAAATTAATACAATAAAGAAACAAAATTAACAAAAAAAAAAGACTATACATTTGAATGACAAATTTGGTAATTAGAGTAATATAGTAATAGTAATTGTAACTTGACACAAACATTAACATTATAATCAGCTACGTATCATCTATCCCATAGTATAAAGAACACAGTAGGTTATCTAAGGCCGCCCGCCGAGTTATTAGCCTACTCTTGCGTTGATCCCCAGGGTTGTCACTTTTACTTTTAGTTAATATTTTCGAACAAGCAGCACTTGATCTAAATTTATGAAATGAAAAGCATATTATGATTGAATATTTTATCAATTTATAAATTTAGTAAAAATTAAAAGCTTATAAAAAGATTATTAACTTCTTAACCAAACTTTAGCTCTATACATAGTATTCAGAAAGTAAATTTGGGAATACATTTATATAAAAATGCGACTCGGCTACGCTCTTAACAAATCAGATAAACTGTGAAATAAACAATACAATACCACATTTTCTTATAATATTTAAGTATAGTAGGTAATTACATTTCTGGTTGAGTAGGAACTATGAAGAATGATAAGAGTAAGAATAAGTAAGTAGGTATCTCATCATCAAGTACCTACAAATTATATTATGCTAGAAAAAGTGACTAGCTTACCTTTCCTGTTCAATAGGTACCTAATCTGAACAGAGACAGTTCTGGAATCGATTAATTATTAAGACACCCAAACACACAGCAATACGTTCTTCTACGATTATCAGACATTTTTTATTTCATTGAACAGTGCCGAAAAGCCGTGAAGCGCGCGCGAACCTCGTACAGTGTCAGCCCTGCCTGGCGCACTGAGAAACGGGTCGAGATTTTGTTAAAGTGTGCGTGCGTCGACGCATAGATACTATGGCGCACACATATAAGCCGCGCGCGGTGCATTTGTATGAAGATAACCTACTTTGTTCTTTATACTATGTCTATCCTCTCACAAAATCTTAAACATTCACGACACACATCTATCCATATCATTGCAAATAAATCACTCTGGTGCTAACATCAGGAGAGAATTGAGAATTGAGCAAGTTGATTAACATTCTCGCATTATCAGTACTCGGCTCATTTAATATTTTATGGAATGTATCTATATTGTTTTTGTTCAACTACAAGTCCCTAAAGTAATAGGCTGTTGATGATGATGATGATGATGATGATGGTACAGCATTAGGTTATGTAGGTATCCTATTACAAAAGGCTGAATAAACAATTATGAGAACAAATACTTAATTTCCGTGCACACCAGAATTAGAAGGAGACATTTTCATTTTTTATTACCTTGCATAATCAAAACCTCATTTTGATTCTCCCAAATGGAAATACAATAGCTGTCGTTAAAATTAATGTTTCTCTTATTACATGTAGGTATTGAAAATAGCAATTGCTTCTTACGAACATTATGTAAGAACATCTAAGGATACATTTTTTGTGGAATACAAACTTTTTTATCTACTTTTTTTTGTAGATATGATGCAATTGATGTGAACAGCCTTTTCAATGCTTGTCTATGCTAATATTGAGTTTGTTTGTATGACTCTATGTTTGTTAAGAGTTTTGCTTATAGATTTTAAAATAATATATGCATTAAATTCAAGATTTAGGTGATTAAAGAAAAAGGAGAATTTATGCAATGATTTCTGTTCTAGAAACTTAGATCGGAACAACTATTTGTGTGGCATACAGATTGTTGTTCCAATTTTGTATGAATATATGTTTGTAAACTCATGATACGGGAGAAAACATAGTATGTCGGGTCAATTCTTTTTTTAAGACATAGACTACCAATAAAAAACTATTGAGGGTAAATCCTCCGCTAACGCCGGTCACCGGTGACCCCCATGGTGTTTAACGTATTAAACTTGTCAAATAGACATTCAGTATTCTTGCAGGCCTTAATAGATATGAAAATATTATAATGCTAACAAAAAATGACAAAGCTTTAAATGATAAATAGGTACATAAAGAAATATTAATATATGCTGACAAGAAATTAATATTAAGGTAAAAATTTGTGCCGCGATGGCATGACTCATGATTAATATTAGGATAAACATTATTATTTAGCAAATACTTCTTTTCTAAAATAAATATTACCTTACAACTTATTTTAATGGCTTTTTAGTTAGGAACGACGAAACCAAATATGTAAAATATTAATTTTACATATAAAACTACACTTTTTAACTATTTTAAACATAATTTCTTTTAAAAAATAACTTTTTATAGAGTAACTTCAAAACTTTTAACTTACCGGATTCTTAGGGAATTCTTGCAGTCTGTCAGCTATTTCCTTGCCTTTCTTAGGTCTCATTAGCAAGTAAATCTTACCAGCATCTGGTATACATCGTAGTATTTTCTCAATTAAACACAATCCAACAAACCCAGTGCCTCCAGTAATGAAAAAGTTTTTGCCCGCGTAAAACGAGCGCACTTGCGATGAGTCAGCCATTTTAATTTTCACGATATTCTTAATTCAAATCCTGTAAAGAAGCAAAAGGGTTCAGTTAGAAAGTTTTTATTAGAAACTTCTTGTTAGAAATTAGAAACTTTTGCACTCTTCGGAAATCGGAGCGGAAAATGACTAAATGTAAAATGACAGTTGCGTTTCGTTTTGGCTTTGGTTTTGACATGGCATGTTGTACTTTTAGCCTTGTGATACAATATGGTAATTGGTAACAGGAAAATGCTTGTAAAAATTTTGATTATACTGTATTTACTAAAAAAAAACATTTTGCTCCGGCAAAGGTTGTCTCGTAAATCGCCGAAGAGTTAATTATTATTTTCAAAAATAGGTATTTCCTTGTAATACAAAAAAATGGTTTGTGCTATCTACTTAGCACAAACAAGATGAGCACTGTGTTTTTTAGTCAAAATCACATTTTAAATGTTTATTATTAAGAAAAGAGACAAAATTTTGCCAGAATTAAACATGCAGTTCAATGGCCCAAAAATACAAAAAAATTAGCTGGTACTCATTAATACATGAATGGCGTTACAAGCTAAAAATAGATTGGGATAGGACTTAAAATAACGAGAAAAAAATGTTTGTGAAATGTAGAACTAAAATTATAAAACCGGTTATATAATAATCATTACAAGTTCTCAGTCTTTAAGCTTTGTTTTGAACAAAAACCAGTTTAGCCATAATGGAAATGTTTTGGTTTTATGGGAAACCTTAATCTAGAATTTTCTGGTTTATTGTGAAGACAATCTAACTGACTGCCTTGTTTTTTTAATAAAACAAACTTGTTGTTGGGATTAGTAAAAGGTCGGGCAAAATAAATAGGTAACTAATGAGTTTATGTGGTACCTATTAAAAAATTTAAGCAGTAGCACAGAACCATAACCAAACTCACATTATATGTGCTTTTCTAACTATACAGAATTAAAAAAAAACGCATTTAATCGTGTAAAAGTTACAACTAAGTTGCGTTTAAATCCTAATTTATTTAATTTCAAAATGAAATAAGAAATTATTATTATTAGCACATAATTGAAGGTTTTTTCGTACAAAACCTTGTATAAGTATGTGTAAATATTGTCACTAGCGTAATAAGCCAGACTTACAAGACGAATTACGTCATAAAAATCTTATTGCAAGTAGGTAGGTACCTACATACTGAGTTTAAACATAATACGTACCTATTTACATAGAAAATGTGTTTGTAAGTTCTTTTTATTATCTGCAAGTATCTAATTATGTTTGTAGATGTAATACGTATCTATACTTAGGTTTTTGAAAGATGTGAAGTGGATATTCAATAATATTTTTAATAATAAATGATATTGTTTTTGGACAGATGAACAAAGACCGAACAGTTAGATGTTGAGAAATAAATTATTATACCCTCAGAGCAATGCTCTGTAATTACTTAGGTATACTTAATCTTACTTATTTTTAAAAGATAGTGGCATGTGTAACCCTGAAATCTTAAAAGACCTTTTTGAAGGCGAACAAGAGGCTGAATAACTGAGCTGCCTTGACGACAGACGATTAAAGACCAAATTAAAAAAGTAAAGGATGCTTCATTGAACTATAGGTTTAGCTGTAACTTGCTGACATATTTTAAACCTTAACATTGCAGGTCCAAAGATCAAAATAAATAAAGACTTGGTTTGCAGCCACTCGAACCAAAATATGATCGTAAAAAATGTCATTGATCAATATTGAACATTACACCTTGGACTGTAATGTTCAAAATAATTACGTAACGTACCTAATAATGAATGTATCATTCACACTTAAATAGGTACTATATTGATCGCAAATAGTTGTTGATCAATTATAAACCATATTTTAATATATTTAAGAATCAGAGTTCATTCAAATAGTCAATACAGATAATTTATTTTGACAGCTGCTTTTGTTCTTATTCTAAATATGAATAATTTTAAATGCATCTCGTTTTCCTTTAAATGGCTATGAACTTTATTATAGTTGTAAATAAAGCTGATTTTAAAATAAAGGTCCAGAAGACCAGAAGGCAATCGTTTTTTTTCTGTAGGTTTTTAATTCTTTTTTTGCTTTTATTTAATGAACATTGTTTTTGAAATGACCAAATTTACGAGAAGGGTACCCGGGTTTAGGTACAAGAATAGCAATAAAAATAAATTTTGACGTAAGCAAATCCGATTACCTAATTTAAAAATATTTCTACATAATTTGCCGAAGGTAGGTACATCTGCTTGCATCAAATCGAACGCAACAATTTGTATATGGAAAATTACTGCCGAAGAAATCTTCCATACATGAATGTTTAATAGGCTGTTACCTACTTATTAGTTTATCTTCGTAGACAGGTCTATAAATGCAAATTGTAGATAAATATTATGAACTCATAGCGAATAGGTATATTATTTCTTAATTTAATTTTTAATGTTTTAAAAAAATAATATTAGCTTTGCTATTCTAAAGAAAATAAAGAAATGATATATAAGAGAAAATACTATTTTAATGACTAGATTAGTAATTTTGATTTTCTCTCGATTACGTTTAGGTAGGGTAATTTTTTTTCTGTAACTGTTGTTTAGTTCGAATTTTGAAAGTGAGCTCGATCGGATTCTTACGCGTCATTGGTCGAAAATGCCGAGATTATTCTCACAACCAATGACACATTTATTATTATTATTTATTTATCTTTAAATCACAAAGGTAAGTACCTATGTTATAAATACATATAATTTAAGCCCCACAAAACATGGCGGACCGCGATCGAGTTAACTTCGAGAGTATTTAAAGGTTTCAGAATAGCCTAGCTGATCCTGTAGGAATATCGAGATTTAAAAAGTAGCCTATGTTCCTCACTGAGAAATAAGTAAGCTGTAAATAGATAAGTGTGTGAAGGCCCGCTGTAAGCGAGCGTGCAAAGACTTATTGCGCGGGCGCTCGAATAGCTACCGGCGGGCCTGAGTGTGTGAGTAAGTAAAGTCTACTTCAAAGGGTACCACATCAGAGGCATTAGTACGAGTTTGTTTTTCGTTTAAAGTAATCGAAACGAGACGGCGTTCTGTGCTCTGATTGGTTGGTTCATTAGAGCCGGCCAATCGCAGCGCCGAACGCGTACTCGTGACGATTACTTTAAACGAAAAATAAACTCGTACTAAGGTCTCTGGTGAATGCTCTGCGAATGCGCAGCCCTATCGAGCTGCGCACGTGCATTTATAATTCTTACTGGCTTCTAACCGCGACTTCGTACGCCCAATCCCGTATTCTCCCGTTCCCGTAGGATTTTCAGGATTTTTTCTGTGTTAAGAACATTCTCCTAATAATAACAGATACAACAAAAAAAGAATTAGTGAAATCGGTCCAGCCATTCACGCGAGATGCCGTGACCAAGGGAAAAAGGGATTCAATTTTATATATTAGGTACCTATATAGATTTCTACGAACTTTGCATGAGTTGAGCATCAAACCATTGTCGTGACTGCACGCGCGCAGCTCGCAGGCACCCCGCAAACGTGTGGGAGAGCCATGTTTCGGCACGAATGGGCCGGCTCGACCTGAGTGATACCACGGCCTCACAGAAGACCGACGTGAAACAACGCTTACGCTGTGTTTCGTCGTATGTGTGAGGTTATCGGGGGCCCACTTACCCCTCCCCCCTTTTCCAATCCCTGAATGCGACGTGCCGTACGCTCGGGTCTGGTTCTGGTCGGACGCGAGAGGTCGCCGATCACATCCCTGAGGGCACGAAGCCTCTATTTACAAGAATTAAAAGGTGTGAAGTTCTGTATCGTCATAATTTATCAGCTACAAGACGTCCACTGCCTTGAATAGGTCTCCCCAAGTGACTACCAGATTGTAAGCGATAGCCAGAGCCGGTAACCGGTCGTCTGTCCAGCTTGTGGGTGGATGTCGAACATTACGTTTGCCTTTCTGTCTCATTGGCCGTTATATGTATTCTATCAAACACACGAACTAATTTGCATTATAGGCCTATACTCAACTCCTGCGCAATTAATGGGTCATTCACCTTCACCTTGTGCCTCATATATGCAGGATTCTTAAGCATCCGTGAAGTGAAGGGCAATGACCTGTAACGTCCAGATGCTTAATAACCTATCCAGAAATATCAAATAATTTGAATATATTTCCAACTCTATGGTTTTGTAATAGGATTGAAAGTTCATTGAAAAGTTTTTTGTAATTGGGTACCTTAATGTGCGGTTGTATGAACATTATTTGCATACGATATCAATTTAATGAAGTCCTACCGTTAGTGGTAGCAGTCGTGATGACTGACTGACTGTCTATTAAGGTGTCTTTTTCGATGTCATCGTCATAATCAACAGCCCGTTAGTGTCCTCTGATGGACTATGGTCCTACATATCCTCTACATTAGCGGGGTTTGCCATAATCCAAATACTTTTTCTATCTAATTTTTATTTTAAACTAGCTTCTGCCCGCGACTTAGTACGCGCAATTCCATTTCCCCCCCGTTCCCGTTCATGATTGTCGGTAAAAGTAAAAAAAAGTACCTACTGTATAAAAAGTATCCTATGTCCGTCTCCTGGTTCTAAGCTACCTCCCTGCCAGTTTTCATCTAAATCGATTGAGGCGTTCTTGAGTTATAAATAGTGTAACTAACACGACTTTCTTTTATATATATAGATATTCAATATTAATTTTCATGTTAGATGTCCCTCCCACCCACACACACGAAGCGCTTCGCATCAAGCTTTTTTATGCGTACTGCTAAGGAGTGGAATTCTTTGCCAGAATCTGTATTTCCTGAAGGGTATCTTCCTACCTGAGTGTCTTCAAGGCCCGAGTGAATAGGTTGCTTATGGGTCGACGTGCTCCATCGTAGACCGCATCATCGCTTACCACCAGGCGAGATAGTGGTCAAACGTCGGGTCAAATATATAAATATAAAAAAATCTCCACGGTCTCTTGGCGCCTTTGTCATACAATGTTTTTTTTCTATCTATTTACTACGGTACTACCTA